TGAAAACTACCTGTGCGTTGAGAGGGAGCGAACCCTCGACGCAGCTTGTTCAACTCTGGGGCTGCTCGCAGGCCTGGAAGGGCTATCTTAACATTCCAGAATCTTCCGTTCAAAGATTAGTACTCCTCGAGCAGCCAGCAGACATCCGTGGAACGTGTTCCCTTCCCTGTGCCCCCGACCCAACCCCCGTCGTAGCTGGGAGAGGTTGCTGGAGCCCCCGGCTCCTGCTGAAGCTGATCAAACCAGGGAAGCCTCGCCGGGGATTTAACCCCCCCCCTGCGTGCGGAGTCTGATCTTGAGTTCCAGCAGGACTCGGGCTGGTGCGGTCTGACCAGAGGGGCCGCTCAGGAGAGCGAGTTAGTGGCAAGCTTCCTGTGCAGACATGAGTCTCGCCGGTGCCTGTGCCGCTGCAGGCAGAGCTGCCCGAGGAGGGGGGCGACACAGGGCAGGCCCGCGGGGCCAGGGTGGCAATTGCTGGGGTGGGTGCAGTGATTGGTGATTTCCAGTTTTGTTTTTGCTTTTGGTTGTGACGGGGGTGAGTGTTTACAGAGCAAATTGGTTTTCCCTGCTGCAGTTCTGTGACTTGTCTGTACTTGGCAGCTGTGACCGTTGGCCGCCAAACGGAGGGTGTGTATGCACTAACCACCACCCTTGCCCACTCACAGCCTGTCACCTTCAAGCCCAGGCAAATTCTACTCTTTCTGTTCGTCTGTGTAGGGAACTCTCAACTTTGGTGGGATCAGGGTGGGCAACGGACCGACAGAGGAGGATGCTGAGATTATTCAGCATGACCAGCTCTCCACCCACTCAGAGGACACGGAAGAGGTAAGCTCCTGCGGCGTGGGCCTCTCTCCTTCCGCCTCAGAGGCCGCTCCCGCCTTCTCCTTGCACAACTGACCCGCTCACCTTAGTAGTCCGCCTGCTTCCAGCACTCTCAGAGCACCCCCCTCCGCTTCGCCTGGTGGTGGGCTGCTGCCTGCAGAACCCCCAGTCCTTCTGTTCCAATATAGCTTCTTGCCTTCCATGGCGCGTGGTACCCGTACACTGACTGTCACAAGAGTGGCTTCAATCATTGCCCCATTCGAGAGCCCTTCTGAGCCATGGCTCTCAGCCCTGGTACTTTGGGGGTCCTATCCTGTGGACTTTCTCTTGGGGCAGATAACTTTGTTTTAGCATCACCCCACCACACCGCTACCACGCACGCCTAGTAAGTGACGCCTGGCTTTTCGCTGGGCAAGGGAGAAACCCTCAGGCCAGGCCAGACCTTGCAGGTCGGGTTTAAAACCCAGCCTCCTTCCCTGACCCTTTGTGGCACCAACCCCCTGCGCTGGACTTTTGGATCTCGTCTAGGCGCCCCGTTCTTTTGGAAGCAAGCAGTTGAGGCCCAGGTGACTGGCCATTCCCGTCTGGCCCCTCCCACTGCAGCGACACTTTTTGTCACACAGACGTTGCCAGGGCCTGGGGCCTTTGACCCAGACCGGATGGTAGTGCATGCAGACCCTGTTGATTTCGCCCTCTGTGTCTGCCGAGGGCGCTGCCTCCACGGGAGCCCCTCCCAGCCGCGGGGATCGCCTTGTGCCTGTGATTTGTACATGTGTGTGTGTCCGTGTGTGTGTCCGTGTGTGAGGTGCCTTCCCACTAAGTACGGATTTGTGTTTTCAAGCCTGCCGAGGACGAAGGGGTAAGACGAAAGCTGGCTCTGCCTCCCTGTGTATCTGGGGCTTCTCTTCCCTCCTTGTGGTCTCTCTGCGGGTCCTGTCGCACCCCGGGGCCTCCGTGACACCGTGCACCCTGCATCCCACGGCCACGTAGCCAGTGTGTGCCCTGTGCTCGCACCGCGCCCATCTCACTCCTGCATCCGCGTCGCTCGCCGTCTCTGTGCTGTTGCCTCTGCTGCTCTGACCTGGGGGGCCTCGCTCGACAGGCGCTGCAAGTAATGTCTGCGGTGGCATTCTTGAAGTGACCCCGTCGGGGCTCAGTCCTCGGCCATCCTCTCCTGTGATGTCGTGGTCGCGCCACCCTGGTGGCAGCTGTTCCCTCCCGCTCCTCTGCGTGCTTACAACCCCTCTCCCCGCTCCTTCTCGGAGATGCCGGCCCGTCTCGTCCGCTGACCTCATCTGCTTGACGCTTCGACCCGCGGGCTCAGCCGCACCGCCCTGCCGCCCAGGGGGGGGGGCTTTGCCTCACAGGTGCAGCCCAGAAAACCATTCTGTCCGCTGACGGGAGCCCCCGTGATCTGCACCAGCCACACACACGTGGGGCGGCAGGAGGAAGTGTCCACTAAATAGTCAGGCCCCGTTTGGAGCAGCTGAGCCTCTGGCGAGCAGTAATCAGTTAGCAACTCACAGGCCTGGGTGTGGGCTCCTTAAGGTCGTGCTGCACTCTTTCTTTGCCCCAACCTCTCCAGAACACCCAGACCCAGAGGCTGGGCCCTCCCTCTCCAGGCTCACCTGCTCTCCCCAGGGCTGGAGAGGCTCCTCTGCTCACAGCGAGGGGCCGCACTCTTCTGGCTCACTCACCTGCACACAGCCCTGGCCCCCAGGGCTGCTGGGAGTGGCCTGGTGCCCGTGGGGAGCCCAACCCCTCTCAGTAAACCCCTCTTCACGCATGCTGCTCTCTAGTTGTCTTTCCCCAAGAGTACCCGGTGCCACTGGTCATGTCCGGAGAGGGTAGCTATGTCCCATGGGGGCTGTGGCTCCCGCCTCTGGCCTCCCAAGTCATCACGTTTTTAGCTGTATCAGCACAGCCAGCCTAGTTGACCACCAGATTGAGAGAACTATGGCAGCTATCTAAAGATTTCAGACGGAGCAAGCTTTTTAAAGAGCCCAGTCTACTTCCAGAACTCTCCCATTTGGAAGTGGCAGTCCCTGTTGATGGGGGTGGGGCGGGGGTGGGAGGACTCAGCCAATTGCAGGCCAGGCCATTTATTGTATGGGACTCTTTAAAGGCTATAGCCATTCAGCGGGTCAGCAGTGCACTCCCCTGCCCCCATCGGCTCCTGATCTCCAGGTACATCCACCCCACCACCCACATAGCCATCCACCCATCCCAGCACCCACACACCCGCCCATCTGTCCATCCATCCATCCATCCATCCGATGGTCGCACCTGCCCGCCCATGCACTCATCCATCACCCACCTGCCAAACACTGTGTGTGGTGCTGCAGAATCACAACAACAACAACACACAGCCCTTGCCTTCAAAGAACTCCAGACAAGCTGAGGCCATCTGGTGGCAGGCCCTGTGTGGAAGTGTGACCAGAAGGCTGCCGGAGCGGGGGGGTGGGGCAGGGGGGAGAGTGGGGGGCCCAGCAAACCCTGGGACAGACAGAGGAGAAACCAAGGGTGGTCCTAAGTTAAGTCTAGTCAAGCAGGAGTCTGGATGCAGGGGGAGGCAGACCCACCAGTCTGTCTTCTCCAAACCACGAAACCAGACTCACTGCACGACGACGGCGTCCACATCAACGCCTAGACCTGCCCCTGGCTGGTTCCGAGGCTTGGCTCCTACAGGAGTGGAAAGCCGCCTAGACC